GAGAGGCCAACATCGCTCGTAATAAGGCCATAAGGGACGCCATTTTCAAGGGCGTTGATTTGAACTTGGGCAATGACGATGACGATGAAGATGAGTCGCCACGGCCGAAGAAGAAGCCTCGCAACGCCTCCGCCCCCCAGCCCTCGACACGTGAGCTTCGCTCGAAGAAGAAGGCTGCCATGCCTGATGATGCTGGAGGTGGGCCTTCCGGCGCACAAACTAGTCCGTCGGCTGCGCCCTTGGCCGTCGTCAGCGGGGAAACGCTAGCGACTGCCGCCGCCACAACAATCAGCGTTATCACTGAGCCTCCCACCGAATCGACTACGACTACTGGTACTGGGGTCATGAGAGCGGCAACGCCAGGCCCTAACCTTGAAGGAAGTCGTTCTTCCCCGACTCCCGTGATCTTGGGAGGCAATTCGGACCACAACAACGCGGACCCAGACGTTGAAGGAGGTTCCCCCAATCTCACCTCCACCCCTGTGAGCCCAAACACCGAAGAAGGCCCCTCCACCCTTGCAAACGGACCAACCGCTTCCACAACTGCCGTTGCAGGAGCAAAGATTCAACTGCCGAAGGACGCGCCTGCTTGGTTGCGGGCTCCATTCGAAGACCTGACGGCGTCTGACATTGGGCAGGAATATGGGAAGTTGTGGGAGACTTTGTTCTCCGTGGAACGTTCGCTTGGATGGGCAAATGGGTCGGCCCGTATGTCGACTGAATCTCGACCAAAACAAGTGGGTGCCTGGACCAAATACCGCCGCGTTACGGGAAGCCACTGCAAAATCGCCAACCTGAGCAAGTACAGGGAGGACTGGTGGGCTTGGTGGGCGGCTAACCAACCGTACTGGCGAGAAGTCAACAATGGCCGCCCCGCACGTACGATTCGTCAAAGCACTCAGTCGTGGGAGCTTTTTGTCCCGGGGGTGAATGGCCTCTTGAGCGTCATGGCTACGCTGTACTGGTGGTCGTTGAAGGAGAAGGAAGAGGGTACATGGCGTTCGACCGACCTAGACGACGCGATGGCCGACCTCCAATGGGTTATGAACGGCATGCTCGACGAAATCGAACAGCGGGCCTCCCAGTGGTCTGGCACGGAGCTCGACATGGAGGTGGATTGAATTGCGCAGCGTTGACGAATGGACACATACGATATTTTGATACATGTGGTCTATGTAGTGTAGCACCACCTTTGTTACCTTTACTTATCGTAGAAAATTGACTTTGCCTGCCTTTGCAAGCGCGTGAGGCCTTGGGCCGACGATGTACGAAGGTCACGTGACCTGCGGACTTGGTGAAAAAAAAAACGAGAAAGAGACAGAGAGAAAAAGGAATTAGATAAGCACAAAATTAGCTTGTAGAAGGTACTCAATAGGAAGTTGAAGTTAACTGTAGCAAATAGACAGTAAGTAAACCCAGAGAGTATGTATGTAGCATTGCGAATACCTATGATAAGATAACACCTGTGATATCGAGGGAATTGATGGGGCAGTGGTCGCTGATCGTGGCCATGTCGATCGGCGCAATGTCGATCCCCGCTGGTTCGGAGCCAACGGATAGATGGCCGACAATTGATGGAGTGATACCCAGAACCATTGATCGGGTATCAAGGACCCTGCCAGACTGCCGGCCTGCCGGTCAGAGGGCCAGAGAACATTAGCCTAGCGAGTTAGGTACAGGTAGGGCGCCAGGTGCAGCTACCCTCCCAGGCAACCGTTTCCCTAACTGCACCTACCATTATTTGGCTATATATTACCACTACGGCTCCACTGACCCGGCTGACCCGAAAGGACAGCCCATGGAAATGGGGACCAGAAGAAGAGGAGGCCTTTCAGACCTTGATAGACCGGGTCACTGATGAACCCGTACTACACTTCCCTACGGATCACGGGGCATGGCGGGTCGAAGCGGACTCTTCCGATTTCGCCACCGGGGCCGTCCTTTCGCAAGAACAGGAGGGGAAGTGGGTGCCGATCGCATTCCTCTCCCGGGCCATGAACGACACCGAGCGCAACTACGACATTCACGACAAAGAAATGCTCGCTATCATGCGGGCCCTCACCGAGTGGCGACATTATCTCCAGAACGGGGGAGATAAGCCGTTCGAAATCTGGACCGACCACAAGAATCTGGAGTACTTCATGGCGGCTAAGAAACTGAACCGGCGGCAGGCACGATGGTCTCTCGAACTGAGCGAGTATCACTTCTCCTTGTTACATAAACCGGGGAAAACGAACCGGCGGGCCGACGCGTTATCCCGACGAAACGGGTACGACAACGGGAAGGAGGATAACCAGGACATCGTCCTACTCCCGGCGGGGCTATTCAAGGAACACGCGATCCGCGCTATGCTGACACTGGAGCATACGGAGGGCGACGGGCTAATAGACTCAATCCGGCGGGCCGAATCGGCCACTGAGGAAAAGGTCCTCAAACTCGGGGAAGACGGGGAACCGGAAGGCTGGGAACAGCATGACGGCTTCAAGACTCGGAACGGACTGGTATACGTACCCCCGGCTATGGGACTGCAGCATCGGGTGCTACGGCAACACCATGACATCCCTATCGTGGGACACCCGGGGTGGCATCGAACCCTCGAGCTGACGACCCGCAACTACTGGTGGCCGTCTATTCAAGCCGATTGCCAGGCATACGTACGGGCCTGCCCGTTGTGCTAACGAACGAAGATATTCCCGAGACGCCCCGTAGGGACCTTGGTCCCGAATAGCGTGCCGACTCGGGTATGGCAGCGCATATCAATCGATCTGATCGTTCAACTACCCAAATCCTCTGGGTACAACGCAATTCTCGTAATCGTCGATCGACTGGGTAAAGGGATACGCGTACTCCCATGCACGGGAAACATCTCCGGGGAAGGAGTCGCTCGGCTATATCGCGATCACGTCTGGAAGGATTACGGATTCCCAGAGGAAGTAACTAGCGACCGGGGCCAGCAATTCATCGGGCATTTCATGAGCGACTTGAGCAAAATTGCTGGGAATCAAGGTCCGATCTTCATCGGCGTATCACCCACAGACGGACGGGCAAACGGAGCGTACGAATATGGAGGTCGAGCAATACCTTCAAACATTCTGCAACTTCCAGCAGAGTGACTGGTCCGACTGGCTTTCCCTAGCGGAATTCGCGTTTAATGACAAGGTTAACTCTTCAACGGGATTCTCGCCCTTCTTCCTCACACTGGGATTCCACCCGAGAAAGGGGTCCGAAGCCCCGCAAGACGTCCCCGACCGAGGCCGCTACAGTGTTTGCCGAGCGAATGAAGGAAGCCCGGGCCGATGCGGCCGAAGCTATGAAAGAAGCCCAGGAAACGATGAAGAAATACTACGATCGAAAACACTCTCCGGACCCGAATTACGCCGAAGGGGACAAAGTTTACCTCCAGGGCACGAATTTGACCAGCGATCGACCCTCAAAAAAACTGGACGACAAGAGGTTCGGGCCGTTCGAAGTCAAGCGCAAAGTGGGTAAAACATCCTACGAACTGGTGCTACCCCCAACCTGGCGCGTAAGCCCCGTATTCCACACGGCGCTATTACGACCCTGGAACGCCCCAGTAGCCGATCATCAACGGGCCGCCCCACCACCCCGGCAGAAATGCGGGACGGCGAGCCTCACTACGAAGTCGAGGCCATTTCCCTCGTACGCAAGCAAGGTCGACACCGCCTGAGGTACTTAATTCAGTGGAAAGGCTACCCTCGGGAAGAGTGGACGTGGGAATTGCGGGACAAACTGGAGGGCGCAGAAGAGGCACTCGAGGACTTCTATACTCTCAACCCGTTCGCGCCCCGCGAAGAACTCGTAAACGGCCGATGGAAAATCCGAAAGCAAGACCAGGGGACGCGGACCCATAGGGCGTCGAGACGCCGCCCACAACGGAGGGGGTGATGTCACGGTTCGGGTCGGGCCGTCCGGGCCATAAGGCCGCACGGGCCCGAACGGGCCCGCATGGGCCCGTATACCGCCGTCCTCCTGGACGCCCCCTCATTCTTCCAACCCCTTCCGTTCACCCCTACAGCCCTACGCAGTGCCCATCCGATCCGCCCTGGGACCTGGCGCCCATCCGATCCATCCCTAATACCGTAGCGTATAAAAGTCGTACTTACAAGATGTAGTCGCTAGGCTAATATCGTCTATTCTCCGGGCGAATACCCATCTCTCGTGCTCCTCAGACCCCTTCGAAGTCGGACCCCCCAACGCCCCGATACGGCCCGAGCCCGACGCTGACAGTCCCAACCTGGAACAGCAGGCTACGTACACCTTACACAGGCATCTTGTATAAGCTACGTGCACCTAGAGCCTCCCCCCGTTGTGAACAGGCAAACAAGTCTTGCCGTTGCCGTTTTGCAGAACTCAGCATCTAGGTACGAAAAATGTTATTCAAAACTTGAATGGGTTATTTGCAATTAATTGTTCTGTATGAGCTCTCCTGCGCCAAACGCAGCAAGGTGCGGCGGCGGTGTTCAAAAGATGTGATTATAATATGGCTGCTAATTTTTGTCGCAGCATCCGAGCTAACAGGGCGACCAATCTGAGCCTCCCAACTCCCAACTATCAACACACTTCGCAAGTGAAACATTGATCGTGCATGTTATCAATGGCTCTCATCCCAATCAGATATATACTCCAAGGCGGGAGAAGCACCTACTTCTTCTTCTCACCCTCCCCCGGAGATAGCAAGCAACCTCCGGACACCCGCCCGCAACCCACTGAAGGCCAGAAACAGATCTGTGCATTTGTGCTTGTACCGAAGTAATAATAAAACAAGGAACGAAATGCTACAGTAAATAGATAGTAACACAAGAACGAAGCAAGTAAACGGGGGCGATTCAAATGGGTGGTAGCGTATAAGGGGGGCATCAGTATTCGTATCCATAGCGAGGGAATATGATACAACAAAATTTAAGTCCGTCGACGGCAGAAACGAGCGACAAGCGACCAAACGAAAGCGATGGAGAGCGAGTAAAGAGAGAGTGGGAGGGTTACAACGCAACCCCATTCATGTTGGCCCATGGATCCTCCGACTTCGCCATTAGTCTTACAGGCGGTTGTTGTGTAGGGTCTGGGGAGCCTGGGTAGCTGCCTGTGCTGTACGATCGCTGCCGCGGGCCACCGTCAAGCATCAAGCCGCCTCCTTGAGGTACTTGGCCAAAGTCGTTGGGAAGCCGACCATTAGCTTCCAGTGCGCGTTGGCAGTCTGCGCCACCATCCGAGCGCACTGATAATAGAAAATTAGTTGAGATAAGAAGGACAAAAAGAACACGCACAATGCCTGTTAAGCGCATCCATCCTCGCAAACTGTTTGTTGCATCCATCGCAGGTGAACGGACGATAATTCGTGTGCAGCTGCTCGTGTCGTTTGCAGTCGTGTTGGCGTGCAAAGCCCTTTCCACACCCGGGCCATTTGCACAAGAACGGCTTCTCCTCATTGTGACTGCGGATATGACCCTTGAGATTGAAGCTTCGCGTGAATGTGCTACCGCAGCCGGGGACAGGGCACAAGAACGTTGCTTCTTGCTTCCGCCGATTATGAGATGCTTTGCTTGTCCGCACAGTAGTCACATTAGGCTTGGAAACAACCATCGGGACTTCGACATCGGGGGGTAGATCGCTATAGTGAGGATTTGGGGAAGCGTGTGGGCTAGGATACGGACTTGGTCGGGCAGAAGAATTGCCGCTCCACAGTCCACTAGCTCGCTCGCTGCCTCGAATCGAACCACCTGATGCACTACGCTGGTGAAGGTTTCGCCCGCGAATTGAGGGAAGGGGCTCGATTGGAGATAAAAACGAGTTGGAGCCCCGTAAAAAGTCGGCGCCATCGGGCGGAAAGAGCGAGGAACCAGCACGAAGATCTTCTGAACGGGACTGTCTAACATGACTAGGCCGCCCAGTGTCAGACTTGGTTCGTCGAAGATTGACGCCGGCATCTGGCGATAAGAAATTGTTGGTCGAGCTGGGAGGTCCGAAGCTGAAGTGACTGAGTGGAGGTGGTTGGTTGCCAAACGACGCGCGATGGGGGCTACCGCCATTCTCGAAGCCATGGTGGCGGGAGGATGGGACTACATCGTTCATCGAAACAGTTCCCTCATCGAGCGCCGACCCTATGTTGCCCATCTGATTGATGAAATTGCCCGTGTCCCATGTTGGCGGTTCGAGGGACGGGTTTGACTGGCTACGTGATCGCGGTGGTAGGTCGGTCGGGAAAAGGTAGGGTTGGGAATTGTTGGGACGGTCGTCCTGCTGAGCAGACTTCCACGGTTGAGATGAGGAGGAGGTGGACAACGCAGTTCCTAGAACAAGGAGCTAAATTTGGATTCTCGGAGATAACGGAGAGCTTTACTCACCCTGATGTAGAGTCTCTAGATTGCTCTGAAACGGCACAGCGGTTGCGACCCCAGCTCCACCACTCACAGGTGTGGCAGGCACAATGTGTAGTTGGGGTCCTAATCCATCGCCTTCTGGTGCATTAATAATGGGGGGTGCAAAGGTGGGGGGAGGTCCAGTAACATCGGGAGGCATAACGAGTCGTGGAGGTGATTGCGGCTTCTGTAGACCTGGAGAACCGGGAGGCTCGCGGGGAAGAGGGTCGGTATTCCAATTAGGAGATTTGACCGTCATGTTCTCGAATGACTGCGCGAAATCCATTCGTGGTGAAGGTGAAAGATGGTTGGAAGACACAGAAGAAGCCCTGCTTCGTAAATGGCCCTCTTCTCCACTATCTCCACCGTTACTCGAAGGTGAGCTGGGGTCGAATGAGCCATGCCGTAGGTCGGGCCCTAGCCCTACAGGGACAGAAGATATTTGGGAAGGATCGTATGGGCCGGGCATGTACTCGTTGTCATTGAACATAAGCAGGGAGGAGGATTGTGGCCCGTCGAATTCCGATGGATCGTAATCGCGGACACGGGCGTCTGAATGCTCGTCCTCGAAAAGACCAAACGACTCCTGTTCTCCGTTGAACGACAGCTCCGAATGGTTTGAGTAAGGTGAGTTGTGGTATGACCCGTTGTAAGAGGGCGTGTGGGGGAAGGGTGGGCTACCCAGATTGAATGAGTCGGGGTCGAGGGAGATGTGGTACTGGTCGGGAGAGGGTGCTTGAAGTTCAACTTCGCCTATATAGTCTTGGTCTTGATGTTCCATGAAGGGATGGGGGCAGTGCGCCGCACGTCGTCAAAGGATGCGGCGGTGTCTTGTTGTGGGAGAGGGCAAGTCGTGCAGGTCCGTGTCACACAAGCTAGTCACGATACTTTATAAGGCAACAATCATCACGGCCCTGATTGCTCCCCGTCGCGGTAACCATACACCCGTCTCTAACTTTCTAAGTCTCTTCTCTCAAGTTTCTTTCGTCCGTTCGTCGAGCGAACAAAACTTGCACCCTCAAACACTGCCCCGACACAGCGTCTCAACTGCGATAATGGTGAGGCGGTGACTGATAACTGAATGGCAGTGCTAGCTTCTTTCCCGTCGAATACGAACGGTTTTGTTTGTATCCGCATCATGACCTCAACCAGACATACCATCGTCTCGTCTCGATCTGAACCTGTTTTTCTTGTGGTTTCTTAGACACCGCGACGATAGTTCCCCTGGATCTGGATTGTCTCTGCCTGGTTGGTTGGCATCACGGAAGTATATGAACAATACAAATAGCTCAAACCAGTGACTTTTGACTGCGGACGATTCGGAACCACTGCGGTAATCTTAGGTCCAATCGCATCAGCGCTTTACAAAGCGATCTTGACGTCGAACTTCGGCGTTGGCGCCGTCACTCTTTAGCAGCTAGAGGATTACTGGACGAAGGCTAGCATCTAGTAATCTTGTCTTGAGTCTTACTGAGGTGTCGGGTCGTCCTTGGGTCGTCCATCTATCAAACACGAAGCATAGATGATGACATCGACATGATTAAGACGGGGCAAACGCCGAACGGATCCCGCAAATCATACGACTGTTCCCTACATTGGTGACCCGAAGAAGCAGGCCGCGACGTCTCCAGTCGCCTTGAATGCAACGAGTGTTTGGTCCCTTCAACTTGAATTCCACTTACTGCGTATGCTCAGGCTGGTACATACTTGATGTCAACTTGATGTACCGACTTGGCAGTCTGCCCTAGACTTTAGACTCCGATCCTTGGCAATAGAGACATCCTGTTTATTAATCGAGGTCGTTCAAACGAGCCTTAAGGTTGCCGAGCAACAGTTCTTGGAAGACCGTTCAACCGGCCCTTGGATTCAGGCGTCCGAGGTGTGATTTATAGTTATATGTCCTACTTGAATAGTAACTACGTGGATCCTCGCTCGGTAGAGTCCGAGGAGAGTCGAAACGAAGTTGAAAGCTCTTGTTGAGAGCAAACTACATGGTCGATCCAGAATTCAGATCCGCGCATCAGGTACCGAGTCACGGTGACAGCTTCACAAGTTCTCACAGCACTACTTACTACTACTATCTTCCTCCGAAGTGCATGCTGAGCGCTGAGACCGGAAACCAGCTAGGAACTCATTGCTGTGACTAGTCGACTAGTCCAATTTTCCCTTAACCATCCAGGCAACGATTTGAAGTACTTGGACTACTACGAAATTTCTGGCGCTTCCTAGGTTTTTTTTCGAGGGTTCAAGCCTGAGGATACTCGGTATGTTCCGCAGCCACTCATCGAACGTGAAGCTTAGTGTTTACCCATGCCCCAAGTACATTCACTGGGACTAGCATCCATACCCAAACTTCAAAGCACAGCCTGAGGCTGGCAGCGGACGAATGGAGGAAAGCTTAAGCGAAGAAATACCAATCGCGGGTCAGCCACACATCGGAGCACTCCCCACAGAACTTATCGCTCAGATATTCCTCGAAGTGGTGGAAGGGAGGCTCAATGTTGACCTGAAGTTATCTTGGTGGAACCCCAGGTCCGACCCACAATGGACGTTGGCTCGAGTTTGCGGGGCGTGGCGTGACGTGGCCCTTTCCACACCTTTACTCTGGCGAAGCCTCCACATCCGCCACAGCTTCGCCCCATACGACTCCGTTCCCGTTGCAAGACTGCGGAGGGTACTCAAACTACAACTGGACCGCGCTGTGGGGGCCCCATTGCATGTTTCCTTCAGCTCGCCGTACGACGAGGACTTTGATGCCAGGCGCAGGGCCCAACGAGCAGTCATCGTCAACGCCTTGTTTGCAGCAACGCATCGTTGGGAGACAGCTGATCTTTCCGTGGCAGAAAACGAAATGCGCATCCTTCACAATCTTCCTTCCGACGACCCATTTCCACTTCTTCGAGTATTGAAGCTCACACACAACAAGTGGACGGCGAGCGAGCGCGAGCTCGACATCCTGAGTATCTTCCAATCCAACCACAATGCCCCTCCCAATCTCCGCCACGTCGGGTACTCCGGCGGCTATCGTGGCTTTTCATTCAACCTTCTTCTCCAACATCTACGTAGCCCAAGCTTTCCTTGGGCACAAATCACCTCGCTTTCCCTGCGCACCGTTCTGGCGTCGACAGCAACAGTTGCCCGCGGACTCGAGCTCCTCCGACCGGCCGGTCCCGCGCTTCAAGCCCTCAATTTGGCCGAATACCAACTTCATGACCTGGACGATATATCCACCGAGAACTTGGACGACCTCATATTTGACCAGCTCCGATCACTGACTTTCAGCAACGGCAACGACAGTATTTTGCGCTACATCCGCGCGCCGAGGCTGGAGAGCTTCGAGCTCTCGGACAGTTCCGGTATTCCGAGAGACACGACAAGTGCCGACATTATGGCATTTGTCTCGCATGCGCCACAACTGGTACAACTCCGTTTGCACGGCGTCAAAATGTCACCCGCTTCTTTACTCGAAATTCTCGCCGGGATACCAGCGCTGCAGAAGCTCGTCGTGGAAAACTTGTATAACTACTTGCCAGTAGAGGTTGTTACCGCACTGGCGCTGCAACCAGAGGCTCGGGCCGCTCGGCAAGAACCCAGTGAGGCCGGTAGTGACTCGAATCACCAAGTCCCTTCAAGTTCGAAATTCCATCCGCTTGTTCCACAACTCCAACATCTCGAGCTGGCTGGCTTTGAGAAAATAGGCCTCAGTAGTACGGAAGCATTCGTTAGCCTGGTGCGAAGCCGGGTCAACAAGGGCTTGCGAAGGGTCAAATTCTATGGATCTGGCCTCCCCTACAATTTAGACGATGAATTGAGGAACGAAGGCTTTGGATTTCTGCTATATGTAACCATATAATGAACTACCGCTCGTTTAGGGTAAGTACCTATATTGGCGCCGTGACTCAATTGTGACCGCGTGACCGCCTGACTTTTTCTCTTCAACCTCATCGCTCTCAGCTGTAATTATCGGCTCTTATCGCGGAACGCATCGCACAAGTACATGCATTGCACTCCAAGGCGTGTGGACTAAACCATCCGAAACCAACTCGGCCGCCAATGAAATGGCACAAATGCTTGGGAGTGCCCCTATGGGATTCGGTCGACTTCCCTGCGAACTCATTCATCGAATATTGGGCGAGGTTGTGGAGTCGGCGTCGTATTGGCACCCTCATATAACTTCACCCGGGATACTGTCCCAAGTCTCTGTTTCCTGGCGCTCGTTCGTTCTTTCGGCGCCGTTGCTCTGGAGAAGCATTCGTATCTGCCACGATTCCAGCTTCCCCTCAAATGGTTTGCGAAAAGCACTCGAGCTTCAGCTCGCGCGCTCTGCTGCTGCCGGTCTTCGCATCGCTCTTGTGGTGCCATCAGAAGAGGATTGGAAAGTGCTCCAAGATATTCGCGGTACTCCCCCCGAATTTCGGAGCGACCACGCTCTGTATAGCTACTTCCAGCAACGCGAAGTGATCGTGGACGTCTTGTTTGGCGCCATTCATCAGTGGGAGACCGCCGAACTTTCTCTGGCACACGCCGAAATGCAAAAGCTTCACCATGCCATAACCCAAGCTCCATCGCAAGCCCCCTGGCTTGAGGTGCTGAAAATTACGCATAACGGATGGGCCGACGATTTGCCAGGTCCGCACGACTGCGCCGTTCTCGGCGTCTTCCGATCGGACGTCCCGGGCCAGCCCCCGCCCAGACTGCGACATGTGGGATATTCCCATGGCTCCAAAGGGTTTTCCTTCCAGGTGCTTTACCGGCACTTCAGCAGCCCGAGCTTTCCATGGCATCAAATAACTTCGCTTTCTTTGGACCTCGGCGACTCCACGTTATCTCGGACTGCAACTCTCGCCGAGGAACTGCGACTTCTTCGTCAGAGTGCTTCCACATTGCAAGCGCTGGAGTTGAAACACATGAACGGCCGTCTCTCGGCGGCCCCCACCCACTATCCAATCATCATATTCGACCAACTCGAGTTGACTATTGTTGATATAATAATACCTATAAGTAGCGTACCAGGATTGTTTATCTACATTTATAATTACTTACTTACTTACTACTTCAAGTTAGCACCATTGACATCAAGTACTTATCGTAGAACGTCAACGTTCAAACTTCACGTTGCGTTCAAGTTGGCTATAACTTATTCTTATCTGCACAAGTATATGAACCTAAGCATCCGGTTGAATTCCTATGCGTACGTATACTTCGAATCGGCGGCAGGTAATGTCAGTTGACTCAATGAAGGTGGTGCCGGTTCCGATATTGCGCACGGACAAAATCAAATTTTATCCCGACATAACACGGCCTAAAACGCGTGATTAAAGACGGAATATCTTGATCGGGCTAAATCGGGTAATTTGCACCGCCGTTTGCACCGGAACCGGCCTGACTCTGCCTTTCACCACCGAAAATTTAAGAGCGCTCCTCAGCCTCTCGACGCAGCAGCCCCAGGGCGTCCCCACTCCGAGCCTACATCGTCGCTATCTCTCTTCTCCCCGCCGCCGCCCCACCCCCCATGGCGACCCGTATCCAATTCGAAAACCACAGCGATATCGGCGTGTTCTCCAAACTCACCAACGCCTACTGCCTCGTTGCCATCCAGGGCAGCACCAACTTCTACTCCGCCTTCGAGAGCGAGCTCGGCGATGTCGTCCCCATCGTCCACACGAGCATCGGTGGAACGCGAATCGTGGGCCGCCTGACAGCCGGTGAGTGCTCAAGGCCAAATCTTCGCTCTCTCCAACTGTGTTTCTAGGCAATCGCCACGGCCTCCTTGTTCCGTCCACCACGACCGACCAGGAGCTGCAGCATCTGCGCAACTCCCTGCCCGACGCGGTGGCCATCCAGCGGGTCGAGGAGCGGCTGTCCGCGCTGGGCAATGTGATCGCCTGCAACGACCACGTGGCGCTCGTGCACCCCGACATCGACCGCGAGACCGAGGAGATCATCGCGGACGTCCTCAAGGTCGAGGTCTTCCGCCAGACCGTCGCGGACAACGTGCTCGTGGGCAGCTACTGCGCGATAACGAACCAGGGCGGGCTCGTCCACCCCAAAACAAGCGTGCAGGACCAGGACGAGCTCAGCAGCCTGCTCCAGGTCCCGCTCGTCGCCGGCACCGTCAACCGCGGCTCGGACGTCATCGGCGCGGGGCTCGTCGTGAACGACTGGTGTGCATTCACCGGTCTCGAGACGACCGCCACGGAAATCAGCGTCATCGAGGCCACATTCAGTATGTCTCCCAGCGCCGTGCTGCTCCCTCGCCCAACTGACCTATCACAGAACTGCAAGGTCAAGACTCGACCAAAATCATCGGCGAGATGCGGGATGCGCTCATCGACAATTGGGCATAGTGCGGCTGTTTCTGACTGGTTGTCTTCTTTTGCATCCCACTTGTATCGCTATCCAGGCTTGTACAATCTTCAAAGTGCTTTTTGTTTGCGAGTGAAGGCTTCCCGAAGTTGGAATACTTTTTAGCATCTTTTTTTGGAGTGACGGCCTCCAGCTGACTCGCAGCTGACTTCACTCTTATACCTCTTGCCTCTGGTTGTATAATATTATGCAGGATAATGTAATGAGCAGCAAGATATATCTATAATATAATATCATAAGAATATTGTGAAGCATTACATATATTATAATTATAACATAATCCTCTTATGATATGTTATATAATACAGTGCAAGAATTTCAACTTTGGTTTTATTAGTAGACACTTTGGTAGTAATGGTAGTAATATCATATGATATTATAGCATGACAACCCACCCAAAATGCTCTCTAAGTCTTGTATAAAGGAGATCTTCCAGTTATACTATAGTATTTTACTTAGGTTGCATGTCACACTGCCAACTTGAATACTAAATATATATTTGTATTTTAGACAACAAAACATTCTAAATTGGTAATTTCTGGGCACCTCTAGCACTAAGAGTTGCCTAAGTAGGATATAATTCAAATTGACAATTTGGTTGTTATCACACCAAAATTAGTATTTGAGTAAAAATACTATGGTGGTTCCATGTGACCACTCTTTGTTCTTTGCTAAGGTGTATACTTATTTCCTAGTGTGAGATATCTCTGTGGCCTTGCAATCTCTGAGGGCATACAGATACTACTAAGTACTAATAGCAAGAGTAAGAGTGGCAGTAAAAGCAAGCATATTACTATACAAGTTAGTTTAATGCTGTATGGGCAACCCTAGAGGCTCTGATGAGAGTCCTAGCAGGCAAAGAGAAGAAACTCTGAGGGTCTGCCTGCTCGGGCACCAACTATATACTGGTCATCCATAACTTCTGATGTAAAGTGCAGAAAGCCCACAGGCCTTGTCCCCAAGGTGATTGTTGGAAGGGTCTTGACAGATCAGTGATACACTGACTCAGAAAAACAATTGGATCAGCCGTGTGACAGTTTTGCATGACATGTTGCTCCACAACGACGCAACTGCACCATGAGATTAGATATGGGATTTGGAGGCTATAGTACCTAGTACTGTCCCATTTCGTTCAATTCAGCGGGCCTGTGACCCGTGATCGTTTGGCCGAAAGGTTCAATTCGGCCGCAGGCCAAATTTTGTGTGACCTCTTACCTAAATAGGAAATTTGAGATTTCTCCAAATCGGGACGGGTTTGGGACCAAAAGAATTGGCTGTGACCCGTGACCGGCCGAAATTTTTCGGCCAAAAAATCTGATGTGACCGTGACCCGCAGAATTGATTGAAATAGGTCAGTATATACTGTATGAAATTTAAAAGCAGAGCTTCAGCTATGACAGAGAAATAATCAAAAAGGTGACAAAGTGTGATCCAATTAAATTTCCATTTTTGGACAAATTCTAGAAATTGGTTCCGAATGAGCTAGAGAAAGTGAGACTCGAAGCGGAAAACAAACCAGATGCTAGTAGTGGGTTGCCCATCCCTTGTTCTTCATCAATTCATGCACCCGGTTAGGCATGCTATTGTACAGCTTGTCGATGAGCACCTGGTCGATCTTCCCCCACTCCTCCTCCAAAGCCAGCCATAACTCGTCCAAATTCTTGGGGAGGACCTCGCGAGCACGCACCTTGCAGTCTAAATGATCCCAAAGATTCTCTATGATGCTCATATCGGGTGAGTTAGGGTAGGGTGCTGTAAGTTGATCTGGTTTATAAACCAGTTAGAAACACGTTTTTAAAAACAGTGTTAGTCTTTAATTCCTGGGGCTGGGAGGTGTTTATAAACAGCCAGGTGTGACACAATATCACATCAGTCACACAATCAACACTGCCAAATATAGTAATTTCCTTCTGAATACCTAGTTGCTGATGTTGAAAATGCTGTTCCTATTAAGGGGTAGTTTACTGTAGTATTTTAATCAGTTCGTCAGTCACGCGTCACACAGGGCTCAAGCCGACGAAAATTTTTCGTCAGTCACGCATATCCGGCAGAAATTGGCCCCAAATTGGTCCATATATGGTAATTTTCCGTCCGATCCGGCGCCTCCGGCGCCGACATTCCCTAATGGGGAAGGCCTGACGAAAGTTTAAGTTCGTCGCACATGTCACGCAGGTTGGCAGGTGACGAATTGATTAAAATAGTACAGTAGTGATAGGGTAGTAGCAGATTATAGAAGCAGTACTACTGAATAATCATATAGATACTGAGGTATATTAAGTAATCTCCCCTTGTTTTAAAAACTGTTTATAAACACCCCTGTTTTTAAAAACTGTTAGAAACACCTGTAAGTATTGGCTGGGGAATTACTTACAGCACCCTAAGTTAGGGCAGGCTCATACCCATCCCTCGTTGCAGAGCAGCCAGATCCGAGAGCATAGTTTTAGACTAAATATGTAATGATTTTTGACCCAAATCAAAGTGATGTGACAAGTGTTATTATTTTTTGGGGTGAGCGCTCTGCAAGAGGGCTGGCGCAGCTAGCCCGGCCCGGCTCCGAGCCGCGTAACCTCCGCCCACCACTCTTTTCTTCCTCCGCGTCCAACCCATCTCCGCAGCCTGCGAACGACGCGTCGACTCCAGTCCCGACACCTTCCATACCCCCTCTGTCTCCGCCGCCACCCCGGAAGCCAACCAAGCCGATGCACAAGTGGATCAATAAAGCTAAAGCATACCTTTCAATTCTGAAAGAGCCATCGTTCAAGAATAAACCACCTTTGAAATTGGTACTAGTATTCCTGCATTGCTTTACTAGTAGGTCTATGCTATGTTGCAACTTGAACATATTCAATAGTCATCCGAATACCAGTCTGGTGTCCGATTAATCCCCTTCTGCACCACTGCGATGCCCTGCCGACTCAGCTTTTCAACAGTTTCACGAGAAATAGATGGCTCTTTCAGCGATATGCGGTTGAGAATCGACCCACGGCCTTCCGCAATCCTCAAAAGGCGCTCGTCGCAGTCGCGATCTTGAAGTGGATAGTCCTTTAGCGTCAAACAACGGAGTCTCGGGAGTGCCGGAAGGGTCAGGCCTTGCACGAGCGCTATTGTGGCCGTGAAGTCGAGCTGGTTGACCGGGGAGAGCATCTTCATGAGCCCGAGCTCCAGTTCTTCGATGCGGGAAAATGGGTTAGAGTTGAGCATTGTGAGCAGCAGTGATGTGATGAGCGAGGCTGCTTGTGCATCACCGAGGACATTTCGGAATGGGAGGAGAATGGAGAAATGTGTGAGCCGGGCCGATGAGCGGCTGAGCATTAAGCTGATAGACTCCAATAACGTCGTTATAGTGGTTTCTCGACGGACATGCCCGACCGCCAGACGTTGTAAAAGCGGAGCGTTTGTGTGATTGAGGATTTGGGACATGAAGTCGGCGTCGCAATCCTGCAATGTCAAAGAATTGAGGCTACAAGGAGTTATGTCTCCACCGGTTATTTTGGCGTTAGAAGACCTCCCGACGGAGGCGCAGAGGTGGAGGCTGGATTCAGGAGAAAATGAGGGCAGAATATGCAAAATTGCATCCGCTGGGAAGCCCCATAGAGTGCACTTTTGCAGCTTCTTCCATACAGATACGGATATGGTCGGGAGGCGGACGATCCGGTCAGCGGCCATAAGCGACAAATGAGTGAGAGAACCAAGGGCCGCAAAGAATGCTGCCACTTCTTGAGGTGTGCTCCAGTCTGTATCGCCCCATGGTACGGACATCGACGTCCAATCTTCCTCGAAATAGCCAATTGCGATCAAGAGATGCCTTAGCCGCGAAAAGTCTCGAGCCAGGCGAAGGATGTGTGTGAGCTGCTCCTCCGACACATAAAACTGGGCAGTTATGACGCGCACAGCCGCGCTGAGCGCAACATCTATAATGCCATTCTCGAGGGAGGGGGATTGGATGTGTAGCGCTAATGGCGCGTCTTTGGACCGTGCGATCTGCAAGCGCATTCGCTTCGCGACAACGGCTTCAGAGTAAGTCATGCTTTTTCTTGACCAAATTGTGTACGAGACATGACTCCAAAGCTGGGGAGAGCTTGTTACGACGTCGTCCCAGCGCTTGTCAATGCACACCTGCCGTAGCGTGAAGTTTGCAATGGGACTTGGATCGTCGGAAGGCTTGTGCCATGGCGGGGGACGGGCGCTGAGAAAGCGGGAGAATATTTCGCACAGAAGCTCGTCCGCAAAGAATGGGTGCGTTGGAGCCTGAGTTCGTGTTTGTTGGCACATGTGGTTGATTCGGGGGACCGTGGGAGCGCGAAAAAAGGAATGGGAGACAAGCCTTCAATGGGCCCGCAATGTTGTATGTCATGAGAACAGGACCACAGATATTGAATGCAAACTTTGTGGAGGTAACTCTTAACTGTAGTTACATAAGAGTCGATCTGACTAAGCATTCGGCTGATGCTGACGTTCCACATTTTGGTTATGGCACCAACCCAACGTCGTCAACGTTCCACTGACTACCACGACAAGCAGGACGTTTTCTGGACCGCGAGTGATTTCGAGTCCCAACCATCATCTGGAATGCCTCGCGGCGGACTTAGACTTCATCGAATGGTACGTCCTTTGGGGTCGTTTCCCGTTGAAACTGTCGGTAGAATCCTTCCCCAGACTGGCAACGAATGAGTCCGCTTTGCGTATTTGCGGCTTGAATATGGGTCTCACAAGCCGTGTTCAGGGGCAACTCAGTCATGCCAGGCTGCTAGGGCTTGCTTCAAAGCTGCGACCTCTTGCTACCATTGTCATTGTGCTGGTGAGTAAGTCGCTTCGCACGTTTGCAAGTAATTCAATGAAGAATCGGAGGGCAGGGCTTGACCGGCATGGCTTGATCACATCGGACGAAAACCACTCCCCCTCCCTGCCTTGGCCCGGGGCTTCCGCCCAGGTCCAGCTCCCAAAGACAAATGAATATTTCTTCTTCTCTCTGTTTCTGACCCCGAGCCTCCCCGAGCTCGCCGGTCCTGCAAATAAGCACAGGCTTACGTTTCAGGCCTGGGGCATCACCAAGGCGCGCCACCCTGGACCCCACTCTATGCTGGCTCAAGTACTACTTATGGTGCGTACCCGCTCCGAACCTTCTATTCAACCTTCACGATACGAGATCTTCCTATAGAATGGACAGTCGCCGTCCCCGTTCCCCCACACTTCTCCAAAAGCTCGCACAAAAGCTATCCCCGGGCCGCTCTCGCTCTCGCGTGGCCTCAACATCCACGAGCGTCAATAATGCCGCTTCGACGATAGCCGCTCAACAAGCGCGAAATGCCGCGTTGCGAGAATGCGGTCTCCTCCCCCCTCTCCCATCGGGCGTTCCAGAAGCACACAAAGACGGCCGCACTCGCGAGCGCACCACAAGAGATCGTACAACAGTGGCAAGCCGCATCAAACAACAGTGGGAGGCCAAAAATCACGCCGGGTTGGTTATTTTGGATCAGCTTGAGGAGGCGGATGCGTTGGTGGAGGAACAGGAGGAAGGTGCAGAACGCGACAGCGCATCATTCATCTGCGACACCCCTTCTCTGTTGAGCAACAACTCAGACTCTGGCTCGGCAATGACACTGAGCGCGCAATCGTTCGTCGGTGGGGGCGGCAATGTCAGCGTGTGGAATGCCTCAGATGACCCACCAGCTTTCAAGGCCACTCTAGAGAAAGGTTTCGGGGAGAAAACCGGATCGAGCGGACGCGATGGAGAACGGAGTCATAAAACGGTAGCCGGCAGGTATTCTAGCTTCACGCAGCACGCGCTCCGTGTCGGGGTCAACCCCACGATGCACACGCCCGGCAGCATCATGGCGCAGGCCAGCCAGATCGAGGATGCGGAGAGCAGACGCCTGACGGAGGTGGCGTTCATGTAACTTCTCCGCCCGCGAGTCAAGACATTTCTTCTCATACCACACTCATTTGTTGTTCCATGTAACTATACTGTACTAGTAGCAGCTCTAACGTGTAATCTCGTAGCCCTCGTTCAGCTTGTACTGTCTGATTGCTCTGACAGTGTTGATAGACACATTATTTCTATGACAGAGTCGACAAAGGCTGAAACTCTTTTTGCAATTGGTTGTTGGCAGCTGTGTCCGATGGCCAACTTGAACTTTTTTGCAGAAAAAAGAGAGACTTTTGAGGCCTCAAAAATGCTTGCGTGACAGGACTAGAATATTTGATGTTTTTCAAATTTCAATGAGTTTTTGGGCCAAGAAAGACTTTGTGTATGTCCAGAAACTTTTCCAGGCAGAAGATTACTGAAGCTCAAATGTAAGAAAGAAGGCATGAAGTGAATGATTAACAAGAAAGAGATAGAAAAATGGAATTTAAATAAAAGGGCATTGGTAGTAAGCAAAGCCTGAGGGCAATAAGTTATATAGTGCTGGCCAAATATTATCCTGAGGTTATGATATATTATAGGCATATCATATTCAGAGCTCCAACACACTAATATGTTTGTAGTACTAGTATAGTATAATCATACTCAGCTGTAAAATATGGATATGTTATGAATATATTCAACTATAATCTAGTATGCATATCTCTGTATATATTTGACATATTTGACTTATAGGGTTCTCAAAATATAATCAGGGGCATCACCACTAGTATTAGATTGGCCAGTAGACACTTGATCAGGGGTCCTACACTATATTCAATAGAGTCATCCCAAAGCAATCACTGTTGTGTCCTATTTTATAGACTTACTATATATATAATAGATAATATATGACATTTATCAGAAGTAATGCTAAATCAGACTAAGATTGGTAAGTATTAGTGAGTGCATAGACTGGGAAAATAGCTGTGATCATCCATCTTACTATATTTGAATATTATATGACTATAATATAGTATAGTTGTGACATAATATAATATATATATTCAAAGATAATTATCTTCAAGTGATCGACTATGTAAGAGCATAATATATTCAGAATATTATGAATATATTCAATATTTAATCAACCATAATATACCCACTAATCAAGTAGTTAAGTAGTCTCTTTAGTGCATGCAACAAACAATCTATAGTACTAGGTTTCACTATTTAGAGACATGTCATACTAAATGTGATTAGACTAGAGATGATAGACAGATATTTATAATGTAAGCATCCCAAAAACTAGTCCCTGAAGCAGTATTTATAGTTGTACAAAAACAGGGCCACTTCATTGACTTCGACTAATAAGTAATAGTATATGCAGAAACTGCTGCCAGGCTTTGGGTCAGGCCATGCAAGGCTCTTCTTGAAACATGCTCCTAGAACAGAACAGATGGTTTATTGGGCCCACAAGTTAAGTGAGCCAGGTTGGAGTCAAGTCAAATGGGTCCAGTAAGGCAGTCCCTTGTAGTCCGGTTGTGAAGTCAAATTGAGTTGTCAGGGCCTAATGAGTTGTTGATGCCTCCTTGCATGGAGAGAAGTGGTACAATATATGATCTAGGCAATTACTCTTATATTAAGCAGATGTCGTGTGAATATATGTGCATGTTTGGCATTGGCTTTAACAATTGATTTGCTCCACACTTCCATTTCTGGGGTCACTGCTGTTAAAGTCCTAAATTGGTAAGAAAAGCTGTAAAATGTGACCAATCCTAATTGGGACGCAAAGCTGTAAGTCATGTCTTGCACCCAGTATGGTGAACAAGTCATTCTTAAGGTTATTTACAAGTAAATATTCTCAAATTGCCTACAAATCGAGAAATAATTACACAAATGTTAGTGACTTGGGTTGACTCAACATATACTAGCAAGAGATATTTAAGAAGGCCATTGGGCATTTGTGTGCCATTCTATCGTTAGAAATTCATGTTATTCAAGCAATATTCAAGTTTAAAGCTGGGGCATAGCCCTAGCCTTATCTAGTAGAGTATATAGGTACACTATTGTGCCTATACATGGCCCCACTGAGAGGTGATGATATACCCTGACCTCTTTTGCTGCTCCCCTTGTCCTTGTCCCTGGCCATAGAGGAGACAATCATATGTCTTGTGGCAGTCCAGGTGCTACTCCTAACCCTTCATGACTACTGTTGTTCCTGTCCACACATGCTGTGAATTCAAGTTCTTTAACTCAAATATTGCTTCCTTTATCCCAACCAATGCCACCCCTTCTCCTGACAATGTCTACAATGTCACCAAGTACGATGACTTTGCTCAGTTTTGAAATCGGCAAGTTGCTGTGCAGTCACCATTGAAGCTTGCCACAGATAAGCATCTTTATGTGAAGCTGCTGGAACAGCTGGAACGGCACCACAAGAAGTCACTTCAATGGAAGACGACTAGAGCAGCGCTCAACATGGGCAAAAATGTCACTGCCCTGAAGCCCATTTGGGGCCTGCTCCGCGATCCTACAAGGAAGGCCGCCATTCTTCCTGCAATCATGCATGAGACGAGTGAGGTGGATTTTGCTGCCAATGGTGAGTTGTACACATTTCCAAGATACACAAGACTTTACAGGACTCATGTAAGGGCAACCCCGGAGGCCTGAGATCAAGGTCCTAGCAGGGGAGGATCCAAAGAGTGAATAGAAGTAAGCAAATACAAGTGAGGCTGACCTAGCAGGGGAGGATCCAAAGAGAAGAAACTCTAAGGGTCCGCCTGCTAGGTAGCGGAACTATATACTGCGCTCTTGACGCGCCAAGGCTGATCGTTGCTCCGTGCAGTATGCCTGCGCCATGTCGCAGGCCAGGTCCCAGGGGGATCGCCAGGCGGGGGCGGCGATGCGCCTGACGGAGGCGGTGATGCGATCACCGGAGTCGGAGCCGGAGTCGGACCGGAATCGGAATCGTCTCCGAGGGGCCGAAAGGGAGGTTCCCCTGACAACTCATACCAGCAGCCAACATTAGCAACAACACATTCTCATTTAACCCGACAGCCATGCACAAACGAACTTCCATCCAACACACTCTTATCCCTGCTATCACTGCTATCCCCACTCTTGAGCCACCTCCTGTCAAGCTTGAGGAGCCTTTATGCCCACCTGATATGCAGCAAATGGTCATGGCATTTAAAGAGCTGCCAGCACTTGATGGTGAGTACGAGTGGGAGGAGCTGGCGCATCTGGCTAAAAAGGCGTGAATGCAGCCAAATGTGACAACTACGGGTCCCAAAAATGTCAGCCTTGGCGCTGCAGGCCCTGTGTGTTTGCTGGTTGTGGACATGAGCTCAACTGCAGAGGCAAGGGGCATGGTTGGGAAAAATGCAAGCACATTACCCACCCTGACCATTCTGAACTTGGCACAGACCTGAAGACATGCAAGAGATATAAACAACGTGACTGAATGTGCTGGCAATGGGGGTCAATTCATAAGTACAAAACTATAATATAATCAGATAAATCCAATGTGCCCTTTCAATAACTATATATACCTTTGCTGTATCCAAAACATCACCACCTTCACTCTCCAGTTTGCGTGAGGGTACCAGCCTAATAGCAGCAAAATGTGCCGAACAGGTGCCAAATGCGGCTGGATATAGCTGGGGACGACTTGCCGCCGGCGGGCATCTCGGGGCTGCCTTGATCAATGCTAAAGACACCGAGAGCATGCAGTGCCATGCAAGCAGGGTTGGCAATGGTGAAGTGCAGAGGAAAACACTGGAAGCTAACCGGAGATCAACAGAGCCTCGGGCCAGGATGGTGATGTAACCTTTGATTTTTATTAGCTGCAGTGTATCTCTTCTTGGCAGTCAATCAAAAATGGATACACCTTGATTTCCTACCAAGCGCTGTTTGATATCTCAAACTTTCGAGACCTCCAGCACCTTGACAGAGTGCTGGACCTCTCTTGGGTTGATACACAAGGTATATACCAATGTTCCTACACCCATAGGCATAGTATTTGGCCTAAGCCTCAAGCAGTAGCTAGGGCAGAGCTTTCCTAAATTTCAAGCTCTAGCTTACTAGCAACTGCTAGCCAATTTGCCTAAAGTCTTGTGATATGATTATCAAAGATTGGTACTAATGTATCAATTTAATGTCTATGACTAAGATATTAGTATATATAGTACTGCTAACTTCTTTTCTTCAGGCCGATGACCTGGTTAAATGTTGGGTGGGCTGTGAGAATGAACTTTCCTATTTTAGACAGAAATGATGTAGCTTTATGTGACCATCAGATATATTGATGGCAATCAAAATTGTTCCACATTAATAACATTTTCCGAGAAGACATTGATTTTAATAATTAAGTTAAAGAGAACCTAAATAAAATTAAACAAACTTTTTTAAAATATGTAACATATGTAACATCTCCACTTAGGCTAAGCAATAGCTAGGCAGGCCACCAGAAGCAATAGCCAAGCTACAGCTAGAGCAAGCTATAGCTAGATATTTATAAAAGGACAGCTTAAGCTGCAGCTTCTGAATTTAGGCTCTATATTACCACTATGGCTCAGACATAAGCCATAAGCCAAGATTATTTTTCAAGTTGTGATTTGGTGTAAATGTGACGTCACTCTGTTTCATTTCTAGCTTCTTCAACCTTGCTTCAACCAGCGTCCCACGACCGTGCATGCTCGTTTTTCTTTTCTCATCCGCGTTCTACCAGCGTTAACTCGCTGAGTCCTGCGTAAATGAGTACAACTGGCTGTGTTTGCAAGAATCAGAATATCACATCGGCGAACGCAGATCCGCCGGCCCCACTCCCTGCTCATAACGTTACCGGCGCCAAACCTCTTCTTCTTGTCGTCCATCTTCTCCTTCTGCTGGTCGAGCCAGTCTCGTTTAAAGCAATGTCCACCTCCACCCCCACCCGCCGTGCCCCTTCACGGTCTCCTTCGCTTCTTCAGAAACTTACACGCAAATTCTCCCGCTCGCATTCTCGCTCAACCTCGAATCCCATCACTACCTCGGCTGGCTCAACACCAGAGCGCAACAATGCGCCTACGACGACAGCGTCTCAGCAAGCTCGCGCTGCCGCCTTGCGCGAACGCGGTCTACTGCCTCCCTTGCCATTGAGTGTGCAGGAAGCGCACCAAGACAGCCGTCTCGCTATTGTTACCTCGCCAGAGCCACCAGTGGAGGACAGCGCGACAGCAGCGAGCCAGATTAAACAAGAGTGGGAAGCCAAGAATCGAGTGCAGTTGTCGTTGGATCCGTTGGAAGAGGTGGACACGCCGGTGGAGGACATCACATCTGTCTCTTTCGACACCCCTTCTCTGTTCTTCGACTCGTCTACGGCAGAGTCCGTGTCAACTATGGCCCTCAGCTCCGAATCATATGGCAGTGCTGGCAACGTCCGTGTTTGGGATGGTTCTGAAGATGGAATCGAGGTCATTTCGGAGGAGGGTGGGGAACAGAAGACGGAGATCGAACGGCCTTCTTCACGGGCACGACGGGCGGGCTTTATTCCTGGTTTCAAACGCACACACAAAGCAGCAGCCAGTCTCCCCAATCCGCCGTCCAGTTTCAGTCCACGCCAACACCAGCGGACGTTTAGTGGTGGGGTCAACCCGACGATGCACACGACTGGAAGCATCATGTCGCAGACAAGCAATATCGAGGACGAGGAGAGCAGACGAATGACGGAAGTGGCTTTCATGTGAAGAGTACCCAAAACCAATAATGCCTTCGGTCGTGATTAGCGCGTTGCTCACGATGCTGTACCATTCATTCTTTATTCGATGTAAAAATGTGCATGTATGTAGCTATAGCTTGGAATAGGCATCATAAATAAGAACCTCGATGACACAGATCTCCGCAAGGTACTTATCAACTCGTCACAGCAGACGCGTTGCTAAAAACCTCCATGTCCGCGCTGTGAGTTGCTCACCGTCAAGTTGCTTTGCCTGACTTCTCCAGGGGACAGCTTAGTGCTATCCGGCCCGTACAATCATTCATCACAACGCTCCTTGGACCTCTACAACCATCATGTCCCCCCCTTCCCCTCCCCAAACGCGCCATGATTCTCGAGCTTCCAGACGAGCTTCTTTGGGGCATATTCTCCCGATGCATGGACCCGCACTCGTCGCCGTTTAGCACCGAAAACCCGCTCTGGCCACTGATGAAAGTTTGCGTTCGTTGGCGCAATGTAATCCTCGATGCGCCGCAATTCTGGCGCCATATCAGTTTCCCCGACTGGAGGAAGCGCGGGCGGGTAGAAAACCTCGAACAGGATGCTGCCCGTGTCTCACAACAAGTAGAAAACTCTGGGGAGGTCCCAGTAACCATCAACCTCATTCCCATTCCCGGCTCCGATGCAGTCGTCGATACTCTGTTGACAACCTCAACGCGCGTGGAGGCAGCAAACTTGGTTCTCGACAAGCACTTGTTGCAGCGCTTTTCTAGCCACGCGGAGGGTTTTCCGATACTCTCCAAGTTGGTGGTGCAGTTATCCGAGAAACTCGAAGAGTCAGAAGAAAAAGCGGCTGCAAACTTTTTTGGTGGGCTGCAGGCACTGACGAATTTGTCTGTGACGAGTGAAGTCGCGGTCGACTGGGTGCCCGTTCTCGTGCCTCTTCAAACTATGTGGAGCCAGCTTCGTGTTTGCGAGCTCACGGAAAGCGTGGTGGACGATGTACTCTTTATTCTGCCGCATCTCTCACCGGGAACTCGTCTTGCGCTGATTCTGGGGCATCTCAGACGGACAGAGGAGGTGGACACACTTCCGATTATCGACCATTGCAACATCCAGTCGCTGTCTTTCGACCGCTGCGGTGACGAATTCGTCTCCCTCATTCTGGGGAGGATTACCGCCCCGTCACTCCAGCGCCTCGCAATCTGGTGGTTCAACCGAAGCCCGCATCTGGACACCATAACCGCGATGCTGCAGCGCTCGTCCGCGTCCCTCACCCATTTCGCGATGCGGTTGCTGTGCGCAAATGCAGCTCGCCGCCAGGGTCTGGATGGGGACACGATGGTCGCCTTATTCGAGTTCCTCAATTCAGAACACGTGCGCGATCTAATCGACCTTGACTTGACTCTAGTCAGTCGATATACGCCGCCAACACTGGAGCTTTTGGATGCCCTCGCTGGCGTCCCCAATCCATGGGAGCCCGACCTCAAGCTGCCCACGCTGCCCAAATTGCGGTCGCTTGCGCTGCGTGCCTATGACGAGGAGGACGGCGAGTGGGAGAGGCGGTTGCTGGCCATTGCGGCGAAGCGGACGCCGGTGTTCAGGTCGCTGTGGCTGGACGACCCGCTGCTTAACCCGAGTCTTGGCCATCGTGCACTGAAGAATCTCCGCCAGAAGCTGGAGAAGCATGGGGTAGAGCTAGTATGTTCTTATGACGGCGACATGGGGACATGGTAAAAGTAGAGGGAGCATCTGCGAATATTAGCTATCTATATATAGAGAGTGAACGCCCTCTGATTCCTAAGCCTCCTCTGATTTACAATATTTATCTGACCAAACTCGACGCTCGATCACGACACCCAATCCGTCATCTTCCAGCCGCAACCTCAGGTCCTCCCACTCGCCAGGGCGATCAAGGTATGGGACATCTCTTAGGACAATCTGGCGCAAATGATCCCGCCCCCCTCTGGCTAACCTGAGCAGTGTGCTGTACAAGACGGCCGGTGCTTTGTTTGCAAGACACACGAAGCGTCGGAGATTTGGCACAAACCGAATTGTGCCAGAGGTGGCCCTCTCATACAGCAAGGCGACAATGTTTTCCAGAGGCACCTTGGGATCTTCGTCAAACGTTAACATGAGGTTGCGGACGGTCATGACGGGCTGTGTGTCCAGAAGATCGGAAATCTGGGTCGTCAAGTCGTCCGCAGGTGCTTCATGCAAAAAATCGCCCCCGAGGGACAACGCGGTGAGTTCGCAGTTGATGCGACGGAAGAAAGCCAGCAGACCCAGGCTCTGAATGGAGCCCGATGACCAACGCGACTGTTTGATTGAGAACGATTTGAGATGGGGAGCAGCGTTGATGTGCTCTAAAATGCCCTGCACAAAGGAAGAGTCGCAGTCTTGCAATGTGAAAGCGGCCAGTTGAACCGAGAGTTTGGGATGTTCCATGAGTGCCGCAGAATCATCGAAGATATTGCCGTTTACAAGACGAAGTTCAGCGTTGACTGGGAGGAGAGGTAAGATTGACAGTGCGTCTGTCAGATTACTGCAGTCTTCGAGAATGCAGACCTGCAGCTGCATCCAAACTTGTGCAAACAAACTGACGAAAAGTGGACCAAGATGATCGAAGCGAAGCGTGAGGTGTTTCAAGCGTGGAAATGCGTTCTGGCATTTAGCAACCCGCTGTGTAACGTCTTGAACGTCACTAGGATCGATCTCCGTCCATGTGAGTCGAAGTTGATGGAGATTCGAATAACAGCCAACAGTGTTAAGGTTGAGCAATGAGGTCAAGCCGTTGAGTGAAAGACTTAGATCAGCCCAACTCCACTGGGGGGCCTTTTCCAATAATGCTTTCATTAAAGATTCAGGATCAGTTTGGCTCCTCTTGTGCGGAACAGAGACGCGCATCTTGCCCCCGCGAACCCTCGATAACTGACAGCGTATCTTTTCCAAACATAACCCGGGTTTCGGCCGGCCTGAGCGCCGGTGAGGAATGACTTGGTAGGAAAGACTTCGGTGAGTGAAGTCCCCCCAAAGCCGTGGTAGGCCGCAAGCAACTGCGCGCCACCGGTGGCACGTTTGCGATATAATTTGTACGGGGTGACGGGGATGGAAAACGGAATGGTTTAGGGCGTCCGGATTGTTGACGATTGTCAACTCGAAGATGGTGCCAAGGATTTCGTCGGGAAGCTCGCGTAGTCTCGTTGCCACCCATTGGTAGGTGTTCAGATGCTCCTGAAGTCGTTCACATTGCGCCTTCACAAGTTCTTCGACGGCGACGGCTATTTCCAGTCTATCATCCAGTTCTTCGAGCAGGCGACGGGTTGCTTCTATGTTATCGCGGATAATTCTCTTGTCCGCCTCTCGGATGGGTTCATTGTCCACAGGGAGCTGAATCAAGGGGTTGGGACGATAATCTCTGAGAGGGTCAAATTTAAGAGCCTTGCAAACAACACTGAAACGGCGCGTGAGCATGCAAAAAATGAAGTGAATCGACTCAGATGCGTACAGAAGGGCTTCGGATTCAATCATGTTGGTAGAGCAAGGAACAGTCGCAAGAGTGGATTGTGACAGCGGACATAACACCGTCTTTTATGCGTAGCTCACTCAGGTCAAAGCAATGTCTGTTTCGGGAACGGTGCATTGACAATGAGTACTCTAGTTTTCCTCGTGAAGACCGCGGTCTGCACATCGCGAGAGTGCCGGCGCAGGAGAATATTGTGCCGAAGGTTCCCCAGTTCGGAGGCTTCACCCTTGAGAGAATGCTCAAGTTGCCGGCGGCGGTATTGACCGCATTCAAGTGGTTATCATTATTGGGTCGAATTTCAAGTCACGGTTCAACAGTCAGCTTCTGGAATAAAGTGGTCAATGACAGAATTTGAAAGCAAAAAAGCGGTATAAGTACTAGCACGAGTAGTCCAGACGTTTGCTGATAGCCTACGACTGAGGCTTGCAGCTTGAGTTGACGGTTGGGCCGGGTTGGCGGGGAATTTGAGAGACGGTGAGTCGAAATCGACTAAGTATGCCAGTTCTTGTAGCTCAAGAACTCATTTATAGAAGGATATGTTATGTTGCTTGAAATCCGAGACCTTCAAGAAACCGGAATGAGCAGGCGAAAGAGAGGAAACTTTGTCGTGATCCAATCAAAAAATCATTTTCCTCCCCAAGACCCTCATTTCTTTGGTTCTCGCCAACCCATCCGTCGTGCCTCTTTGAACTTCCATCTTCCTATTTATGTCCCTTCGAAACGAGGACTCTTCGAGTTGACACCATGCGAAGACTTGACATTTGTATGCTAGCGTCCCCATCGTAGGCACACCAGCAACACCACTTTTCTATCTGCAAGCTCACCACTAAAGCACTTCTCGCCCACCCATGAGCCCTTCTCCCCCACCTATTCATCTGTGACGTAGCAGCAAAGTAGCAGTTGACACAGATCTTCGGTCGCAAGACGCTTGCCAATAACCCTCATGTCTACCTTGTAAAACCATAATCTTCGGTTTCTGCCCCGCTAACAACATCGTAGAAGTGTCCTACGCTCTCTGGAGTCACTATGGATTACTGTCCTCGATCCATTCTCCCCCGCATGCCATGTTCTATCTCCTCCCAAAACACAAGTCCTCATGTCCTTCCCCGACGAGTTGCTCTGGGAGATTTTCGCGCACTGCATGGACCCCCACATGTCGACCTTCAGCGACGATAACCACCTGTGGACGATGATGAAAGTCTGTAGGCGTTGGCGGACGGTTATATTGAACGCGCCGCAATTCTGGCGACATATCAGCTTCAGTGACTGGCGCGAAGACAACCAGATAACATTCTCGAAATCGGCTGCGGTTAGACGGACGAAACAGCAAGTAATGCGCTCTGGAGAGGTCCCATTGACGCTCAACCTGATGCCCATATCTGTCTTGGCAGACTCCAACGAGGTTTTGGATGTTTTATTCGACGCCGCCCCACGACTGGAGTCTGCCGTTCTCACATTCAACAACCATCTTTTGGAGCGATTCAACCAACACGCGGACTCTTTCACCTCATTGTGGAAACTGGGATTGGCCTTGATTGACGAGCCGGGAGATGCAGAGAAGGAGGCCACCAAGAGTTTCCTCGATGGATTGGAAATGCTCACACATCTCCACCTGAGCAATCAGGTTGAGATAGATTGGGTGGCTACTCTCGTTCCCGTGGAGTCACTTTGGAACCGACTGAAAGTCTGCGAACTCAACGAATGCATGGTTGACGACGTGCTTCTCATCCTGCCTTATTTCCCTCCCGGCTCGCGTATCGCTCTTATCCAGGGAAAATATATGCGTGGAGCCCCCGACTCTTTGGTTGCTGTTTCGCATTCCAATATCCATGCCCTGTCTTTCGACAGATGTGATGACGACTACATCGCTCGTATTCTGGACAATGTCACGGCTCCCTCATTGAAACGGTTAGCCGTTTGGTACTTCGAAACACCACCTTATAAACAAATCTTCGACATGTTGCAACGTTCATCAGCATCGCTCACCCATTTTGCTGTTCGTCTGCTTTCTGTCGGCCTCTACCGTCAGCGGACAGCACCTGTCTCTGACCTCACCGACCTCTTGGAGTTCTTCACCTCGGAACATCTCCGTGACCTGCTCGACCTCGACCTCATCCTCGCCAGTCGGTTTGCGCCAGCCTCAGTCCAACTTGTCCATGCCCTGTCGCTCGATTCCGGCAAACTCGGCTATTCCGAACTCCGCCTTGGGGAGAGATTGCTCCCCAAACTCCAGTCACTTGCGTTGCGCGGCTATGACGACGAAGATCCGCACTGGGAAACGCGTTTGATGGCGCTGGCGGAGAGCCGAGAGGGCGTGCTCAAGTCGATTTGGTTAGGGGAGACGTTACCGGCGCCGACGAAGCGAACCCTGCAGAAATTAAGTTCCCATGGCGTTGAGTTTGTTTGTTCATGGGACATGGGAGCTTGGTGATTCAAAGAGTATTGTTTCTAGTACAAATAGAGCAGTGGTTTTTTTTTACTTCGATTGTAAAGTGATTTAGAAAGCCAAATAACAAGACGAGAAAAAAAGGTTCTACCTCTTGGCAATGACATCTATCAACTGTGTCTTTGGGGTTGCTTCCTGGTATGCCGAAAGCTGGAGTCTTGTTTGCGTCGCTTGTTCATAAGCATAAGCATACGCCAGAAGCCTCGCATCGCTCCACGCCGACCCCACAAAAGTCATCCCGAACGGCATGTTGGGGTAGTTCCCGATAGTGGAATCTGCGGAAAGTCCTGGTTCGACGTCTGTGGTGTTCGTGTCGAAGCCGAGAGGGACAATCACGACGGGGTAGCCAACGAGCGGCGGGAGGTTGAGCACTGGGCCGGCAGGGGGCAACACAAGAGCGTCAAGGTTATATTGCTGCAGCGTCGCGTCGAGGGTTTGACCTAAAGCTCTATTCTTCTCAAGAGCGGCGGTATAGTTGCTGTCTCGCTCAAGAGTTTCGATCCCCTCGAAGAAAAAGTTCCACTCGACATAGGTGTCGAGCTCCGGCTCTTCCAGCTCCTTGTGTGCGTCGTTGAACGCTATGATGTCGAGATTGGTGTGAATGTCGTTAGGGTTGTTTTTGAGCGTTGCGAGATATGCTTCCAAGTCAAAACGGAAGTCAGTAGATCGAACCAGCTGAGTAAAATATGAGAGAAGAAGGGCGGAGAAGGAGCAATACGTACTGGTCTCGATGGGGAGAGAAATGCTTCATCGGCTCCTGATACGTCCGCGGGGTCCGTAATTACTGCGCCAAGTTCTTGCAGCGTTTCGAGTGCAATCTTGAAAGCAGGAGCCCATGGAGTGGCTGAGGGTTGTAAGCCAATATATAGCCATGATGTGGGGGGGACTTACGGCCCCATTTTGGATCCAAAGAAGCACGTGGAACACCCAGACGCACGCCTTTTAATGCATCTTTGGTCAAGGCAGCAGTATAATCAGGTAATGTTGACGGTTGGACCAAAGTGTAGTTGTCAGCTGCATCCGGACCAGCCATGGCATTCAGCAGCAAGGCAGCATCGTAGACGGTTCTGGAGATAGGGCCTTGGTGACAGTGAGATTGTGCGACCAGAAAAAAACAGCTAGACGGACCAACCGTATCCTGGTGTTGTGTGATGGGAATAACACCTGACCGCGACGTTAACCCAACGGTGGGTCTTACTCCGACCACATTGTTCAAGCTAGCTGGACCGATGATGCTTCCCTCGGTGTCCGTCCCCACGGTCACAGAAGCCAGCCCTACAGATGCAGCGACAGCAGAGCCGCTGCTACTCCCGCCTGGGTCGCATTTCGGATAATAAGGACACGTCGTCTGGCCACCTCGCGCCGACCAGCCGCCTTGCATTATTGAGCCTGATCCAGCCCATTCGGAAAGATTTGTTTTGCCCAAAATAATGGCACCCGCAGCCTTTAGTTTGACCACCAGGGTGGAATCGCCTGGAACAACACTATTGAGCAGAGCATACGAGCCCGCGGTGGTGTTCATCCCGTCTTCGACCCGAGTCGCGATGTTGTCCTTGATGAGAATCGGTATTCCATGCAACGGACCTAGCGTCTTGCCCTGTTTCCGTTGGTCGTCAAGAGCAGCGGCCTGGGCCAATGCGGTTGGGCTGATCTCGATGACCGCATGAAGCTCCTCGTTGACCTCTTTTATACGCGCAATATAAGCCTAGTAAGGAGGAAGATGTCGACGCGTCAGTTCAAGTTGGACTCTAACTTCAAACAAACTGGAATCCCTCACATTGACCAAATCTACGCTTGTGAAGTCTCCTGCCGTGAGTCCTGCCTGTAGTTCGGTCACTGTTGCTTCATAAAGATCTGGAAGCGCCGCTGCTTGAGCGAGCCTGAGAAGAGGCAAGAGGGTAGCCCCATAAAAGGCGAAAGACGGCCACGAAACGTGCATATTCAAGTTTGAGAGAGATGCGAACAGTGGCAGATTTTATGTACTGCTGAAAGTCGCAGTCTGTAGGGACATTCCTGGCGCGGGGCCGTGCGATTGAGGGGTATCAATGCGTTTCCGGATGTGGGCGCCTTCATACGGCAGAAACTGGCAGAAAGGTAGAGCCGAAAAGCCCAATGAAGAGTCATTGCAAGGGCAAGATGATAAAATTTGCCGATACATTGACTCGCTCGAGTATGATATGGCCTGTAGTGGCCGAAGAAGCTTGGAAGACCAGGACAGTTGACATAGTATCACGTGACCTCGCAATCAGTAAGTAAGTCCAAGTCTGACGACATCTCAGAGTGTATATCAATAATACGATAGATATGTACTGGTACAGTGAGAGAAGCGGTAAGTAATATGAGCATGAGTAAAATATAATGTCCTACCTGGTACAGTGAGAGAAGCGGTAGCTTGTCTCACTGTGCCAGGACATAATAGAACTCGGCGACGTCATAACTGAGATTAGATAATCTCTCACGCCCCCCCTTGACCGGCGTCGAGTCGTAACATCTTGATCCATCGAGAGTGAAGTAGTCGATGTAACGGTTTGGTGAATAAGTCCGCGACATTTTCTTGGTTAGAGATATGAATGATATCGATGAGTCGCTTGATGACACAATCCCGAATGAAGTGATCTCGAATCGATATGTGCTTCATTTTCGAATGAGAGTGTGGGTCGTGAGTACACGCAACAGTGCCTTGATTATCGCAGAACATAGTTGTCGGCTGCTGTTGAGCGTAGCCTAACTCCGCAAACAGATTGCGGAACCAGAGAACTTCTCGCGCACAATGTGTTGTGGCAAGATATTCTGCCTTGCATGACGAAAGGGCAACAACAGCCTGTTGTTTAGAGCTCCATGAGAGTGGTGAGTCGTCCATCATTATCAAGAAGCCTGATACCGATTTGCATGTGTCACCCATGCCCCAGTCAGAGTCGGTCAAAGCTTTGAACAACGGCTGTGTAATCGATGTCTCAGATGAGCCGCCCAAAGTGATACCATATAGCGTCGTTCCTCGAAGGTACCGTAGAAGGTGCTTTGCTGCTGATACATGTGGTGGCCCATAAGCTGCCATGAACCGAGCAAGTTCACGGACAGCATACACCACCAACCCGTCGGCACACTGACCCGATGTCTGTCCTGGATGTCGACAGGATGAAGCCGCCGATCTCGGGCAAATATTAGCCCGAGATCATTCAGAAGTCAGTCAGGAAATATTGGATGGGTATCATTTGAGCTTTGCTTGAGACGTTGCCAAGAAGATCAGGGCAATGTCATGGTGTGATGTTGCGTTGCAGTACCGGAATCCACTCCACATCAAGTGATGGAAAATTTTCGTTGTCAGGCTGCGATGTCACAGTCACTCAGCCTCACTTCTCTTCTCTTTTCCCCCATCTTCTTCGCTCGACGCTGACTGCCTTCCTCTAGACCCTCCTCCTCTGTGGTGCCGCTGGTGCGTATGCTTGTGCCTGCCTTCCAACACCACTGACCACACATTCTCTGGCTAGCCCTCCCCGATGGTCCTACCGGCATATAGGTATTGACGACCTTCTTCATGCCCACTGTCTTCCTCCTTTTGTGGTGCGCTGTCCCTGCTCGCTCTCTGCCCTTTTGCTGACTATGTTTCTTCAGAATTGCTGTGCAATGGTCTCCACATAGCCATGTCCGCCATTTCCCATGTCGTCGTTTACCTCCCTGCCTGCTTTCCAGAGCTGGTATTCTTTCCCCGTAAGTTATGACTGCCCGGGCCATCCTCCACACTGACTCTCGTCTTAGCCTTCTACATCAGGCATCCTTCCCTTCCCGTCTCTTGCTGCCCCACGGCCCCCACCCACCTGTTCCTTGCCGCCAGCATTGGTGTGGCTATCCGGTGCCTGCTGCTGGTGATGGCAATGGATGGGAGGGACAGGAACCCACTCTGCGCTAGAATGCAAAGGACGGTTGGCGTGCTAGTGGTCAGTGGTGCATGTGTAGTTTTTTTTTTTGTATATATAGCTACCTACTACAGTGCAATAAACTATTTTCCTATTCTCTTGATGTGTGAGCTATGGGTCCCATCTGCTGCAGCTGGAAATCGCCGGCTAAATTCTCACTGCTCTTGGTCCTATGCTAGTCTGGGTCAGGATGTCCTCCTGATATACCTGGTCAGCCAAACATCAGGAAGATATGCTCATTCAATTTCTTTTTGACATCACGCAAATCTGTCACCAACATCACAACTCAACGTCGGGTGATGTTCCAGGATGACATCGGCAATATGTCACGACGGGTTGGTGGTGTAGGCAATATCGGGTCGAGTGCATGTCGCCAGATACATGCATTTACCCACGACAGCTGTATATGGGAACGATTTCGCCTTCTCGACTTCTTCGGAGCTTGCGGGAGTCAAACGAAGGTTGGGCTCCATCGGAGTCTTGACGGAATTGCAGGATTCAAGTTCATAGCCAAATTCGCGTAAAATCGATTCAGTATAAGACTTTTGGTGTAAGCGTAGAGTGCGATTGGTCCGGTCACGTTCGATAGTGCATCCCAGATGCAGTACTGGTTCGCCGTTGTCCGTGATTTCAAATTGAGTGGCCAAGCTGGCGACAACAGAATCGGCCTCGTTGGTGGAGCTTGATGCAATTAGCATGTCGTCAACACTTGAAGTCATGACTGAATAAGCAGAAGCTTGACTTCGTTTGTACACGCTCCAATCCGACGCCAATCGCTGAAATCCAATTGTCCCAAGGCTCGCATTGAGCTTTAGGTACCATTGTCGTCCCGCTTGTTTCAAACCGTACAAGCCTTTCAGCAATCTCCAGAATCCCGCTCCAAGTATCGATGGCTTGCGCATGTAGATTTCTTCGTCAAGCGGGCCATTAAGGAAAGCCGTCTTGACATCGACTTGTCGTAGTTCCATATCGAATCTTGCTACAAGCGCAAGAATCAGCCGAATTGATTCCCATCGAGCGACAGGCGCAAAAGTGTAAACGAAATCTTGGCCTGGGATTTGAGTAAAGCCTTTGGCCACAAGTCTCGCTTTGAATCGCGTAATCAGCCCATCTCGGTCGCGTTTAATGTGCAGCACCCATTTCGAATCAACAGCTTTTCGACCAAATGGAACCTCCTTCACTTCTTCGTACACTCCCTTTGCTTTTAACGCTTCCAGCTCCTCGTATAGAGCTGCCAACCAATAGACCCAGTAAATGGATGACTTTGCTTCTTGTACCGAGTTAGGGTCTTTTGCGGCTGGGTCGTCGATCGGGTCGGTGAGTGCAGCATTCACTCTGATGAACTGGGTTTCAGCGGCAGCAAAACAATTGACTAGCTTAGGAAAGTCGCTGATATCACACTCGATTTCGAGTTCGACACCATCAACAAGGATGGCATGGAGGTAATTCTCCCCCCCCTCGTCCATTGTCGTGCCTTGATTGATGATGAAGCGTGCCGGTATGCGTTTTGCACGCTGTGGTCGACTCGGTAGAGTATTCGGTTGTGGAGCAACATCAGGCATGTCGACATCAGGAGAATCAACTCTAAAAAATATTATTACTCTCGATGGAATGAGTTATGTTGATTCATACTCAGGAATCGCTCGATGGCGTATATTCTCGTTGGATATGCTTGGCTTTAATATACTCCTGAATTAACAGGTAAGTTCACCAGCTGTGCATGTGCGTACAACACATACTCGTCAATTGCTCGAAGGCGATTACTCTCGTTGGAGATAAACGTCTCGGGGGACGACCTGGATCCAGGTCAATGATATGTTCGATAGAGTTGAGTATTACTCACTTGTTATGCTCGACGGCAGGTTTATGCTCAATGGCAGTTTGTTTAATGTCGTCCTGGAACCGGGGTTCAAGATCTCCAGGTATTTCGTCCCATAGAATGTCGGAGAGAGGTGGTGAGGGAATAAACTCGGGGAATCCGTGAAATTTGATATCTCGACGTGGGCGAATAGCATGTGACTTTGGGAACCACACCAGATATCCTCGTGAGTCTCGAGCATAACCCACGAATCGGCCTTCCTCTCCCCTCGCTTGAATTTTGTTGATCTCCGTCGAGTCAAGTTTTCGGGAGGTGACGAGAGCCCCAAATGGACGAAGATGTGATAGATCCGGTTTGCGATTGAACCATCCTTCGAATGGAGTGGAATTCGAAGGGTTAGATGTGTGGGGTACACGATTCTTGATATGGACAGAAGTCTGTGCGGCCAAAGGCCAAAACCATGCACTCAGGCTAGCATCCACAAGCATCGCGCGTGTCATGCGCTCGATGATTTGGTTCGTTCGCTCGGCTACCCCGTTTTGTTGAGAAGCATCCGGGACAGTATGTTCGTATTGGATGCCGTTTTCGTCGCAATAATGTTTGAAAGGCCCAGATATGAGTTCTGGAGCATTGTCGACACGGAGGAAGATGATAGGATATCCGAGAAACCTTTCGGTAGCTGCTTGATACTGTTGAAAACACTTGAGAGCTTCGGACTTCAATTTGAGAAGATAGATGGCAATGTAGTGTCGGAAGTCGTCAATGAAAGTAATGAAGTACTTGAATCCTCCATAACCTACGGGCAATGGCCCGCAGATGTCACAGTGAATTCGGAATAGAGGTCGGTCGGCACGATGAGTTGCTTTTGAGGGAAATTTTTGTCGTTTGATGTTGGCTAGAGCGCAGACTCGGCAGTGCTTCACGCACACGTTGTCAACTGGTAGTCCTGTTGTCGTTCGCTCCAGCCCTTTAACGTCTATATGGCCCATTAGACGGTGGAAAAACCCTGGTGCGCATCGTTCTGAGAGATCTCTGAACCAAACAGAGATGTGACCGATGGGATCATGAATGCCATCAACTCATCTCTTTTCTCGTTCTCCTCCACCAGCTCGACATCCATCTTGTACAAGTCTCTGACGATTGTCCCTGTCGCGAATGGGGTATCATTTGCGCTGAGGTATGTGATTTGACCACCCCCAGTTCTTGTTTTGACACCCTTTCTGTCCAGGCGTGAACCAGAAATCAAGTTGCAGCGAGCTGTTGGAATATGGAGAGCATTTGATATTGTGAATCCTTTAGGTTCGTTGTTATACTTGGATTTCATCACAATCTTCCCTTTCCCAACAGCTTCTGTCGTCAAACTTGTCCCAAATCCATGAACAGTCAACGGCGTTTCGAAAGGGGTGTACTCGTGGAAAAACTTCGCGTTATTGAAGATGTGGCGAGATGCACCCGTGTCATGGTTGACCGTATCGTCTTGTGCAAGAGAGACACCGAAGATAGCCGCATTCACCCAAAATTCTTCGTCAGTTCCGATTTTGTCGCCACGGTCAATATTCATCATAAACGCAAACTCATCACCCACTTCCCCAATAACTTGATCGATATCTTCCTCGGTATCATCCGAAAAATCAACCAATCCCACGAATCGATTCCCCGCTTGCGAATTTACTTGTGGACTCCTCGATTGTGCCTGTTCAATGGCCTGACGTCTTCGTGCTGCCACTCTCGCTTCAGGAGCAAGATGAACATCACGGCGACCACGAAAACCTTCTGGATACTGCCCTGCCTTTCCTCCTCCATACGAGAAGCAATTTCCCATGCTATGTCCAACTGGTGTGTCGCAATGCTTATTCTGGCAAATGGTTGGAGAAGAACGTTGAGTTGGCGAGCGCTGGGTAGAAGTATCGGAATATGGGTTGAAACGCTTCATTTGGCGTTGTTGTATCCTGGAGTCACGTCGATTTGCTGGTGCTGTTGCATAGGCGCTTGGAACAACTGGAAGTTCTCGACCTTTGCCCTTCGCGGACACCAACGTATTCACCGCAACTACCGAGCGTGCAATCTTCAACTCCACCTCCTCAGTTCGAAGACGCTGAATAACCATGCTCAACGAGAATGGATGGCCCATGACTTCCGCCTGTCGAACTCTTTCCCGAAGTGCATCACGACAATAACGCCACTGCTCTGCTGGTGTCATGAGAGTGACCAGATGTTTCGCGAACTCCGTGTCCGACATCATAGTGGGGTCTGCATCATGCAGCCGCTGGTAGAGTTGGACCATGACCTCTCGCCAAAGGACCGGGTCGTCATCGACATTGCATTGATAACCGATGATTTTCTGCTTGATTGTAATGGCGGTAAGGGCATTGGCAGGTTCGTATTCATTTTTGAGTGCGAACCAAGCGTCATGAGCTGACTTGCAATCTCGTACCACGTACAGCTTCCCACTTGGAACCGCCTTGACGATTATGGCTAGTGCTTTCTTGTCGCCTGCAATCCAGGCTTCAGCCTGTTTCTTAGCTGTCGCCACAAGAGCTTCGTTCCCTGGGACAGTAATGGTGGTAACTGTTCCGCTTTGATCAACTCCTTGAACTTGTTGACTGACTTGGAGTGTAGGAATTGACGGTGGACGGTAGTCGCTTCCATCAATATACTGCCAGTATCCAGCAGCATCGAGTTCCAACATTGCCTTTTGCTTGAATTCTCGATAATTATTGGTCCCATCATCCTCGTCTTTGATTGCGGTGAGCTTTAGGCCCTTCCACTCCTTCTCTCCATCTGCTGATGTGTTTGTTGTAGCGTTTGACATAGTAGCTGTTTCGCAAGCGGTGGTGATTGTAGAAGTTGTTGAATAATCAGAATTTGTCGCAGATTACAAGTGCACCGGGGCCCATAACCTATCAATAATACGATAGATATGTACTGGTACAGTGAGAGAAGCAGTAAGTAATATGAGCATGAGTAAAATATAATGTCCTACCTGGTACAGTGAGAGAAGCGGTAGCTTGTCTCACTGTGCCAGGACATAATAGAACTCGGCGACGTCATAACTGAGATTAGATAATCTCTCACAGTGTACTTACTGTTCACAAGCGCCTAGGAGCGGTCTTCATGAAACCTACTTACCCACGGCGTAGCGCTAAGGCAAAGTTGATTACCACCAATTCAGTCGATAATAACACTGGATGTCATTGAATCGATAAAAACCACTACCTAGCATCCCCATGAGCATCAGAGTGCCATATATCTCGTGCACAGCGCCATCCCAGCCAAATCAACACGAGTAAGCCCGCAGTCAGTGCGCCACTGTGAAAATTTTAATAAAAGAAAACAGAACGGGTTCGAAGACAGACACTTCAACAAGAGACATAATTTGGATGGCTTGAAGATGCCCGCAATAGACCAAGTTGTCGCAAAAGGTTTTGTCAAACAGCTGTGGGACGGCGTTGCTGAGGACTGCAGCGCCAGCCACCCAGAACGACCATGTCATGAGAGTCCAAATCGACTGCGTCCCGATTGACGATATAGGGTGTCTCGAATAGATTGGGTGTAGCATGAAAATAGTGAATGCGGCAGATGTCGTGCTTGTCCAGCAAGCGTTAAATCTGATAATGGTCGTAAGTGAACGGGTTTCGAAGGTTTAGAATCGAAGAGTTACAGAAATAGGCGAAGGGCAATGACGGTCCGCTTGCTGGGGTAATTTAGCTGCAAGCTGTATTGAAGCAGTACCCAGCTGGGGAGGGCAATCTTTACAGATGTGGTGAATCGCGGACACAATAAGGAGGGAAAGAATACCATCACAAGACTCGTCATAACGAGGAACGAATAGAAAACTATTTGGACTGTTTTGGTGAATTGCTTCAGAGAAAGAACCGACACGCACATGGTGAATATCGTCGAACAATTGGCAGCTGGGTCTTGTTCATTGGCATGCGGCGCCGGTTTGCATAGTCGAGTGTCCAAAAAACGCCAGCTACGTAGACGAAAGCCAACAGCGGGACCAGACAGGCAAGGGCACTGGTCAGCCCGCTTGTGAAGTTTGAAGCCTGGCCAGGACTTGATATTGGAGCCATGGAAGATGGAATTTCAGAAGTGAAGAGAGAAGTTAGAAGGCAAGTGGTGTTGCCCACGTTGTAGGTGCTAGTTGCTCGTATGGGGTGTTCATGTTTGAACAACAAACCGTGACAAACTTGAATGCGTGCTAGACTCGTGGCGAAGCAAACAGACACCCACAAACACCGTTAGGACCGATCCGTGATGGAGAAGGAGTTGAGACAAAGATTTGGCCTTCTTTCGGGCGAGATGGGTGTCTGAATGGCCGCTCGGCGCTGGGTGATTTGCTAGATGGATACTGTCCATGCCACTGGTCCTCCATACGCTGGTGTGGTATAACTTTCGTAGAGCTCCAGGACAATGAGCGTAGCAAGAACCTGGTTGGTAGTCCCATTAAGTGGCCTGCATTTAAAGTTCTGGAACGAGGTGTGGGGTTTGGACAAATTGTTGGACGGTGGATGGGGAAGCGAAATAGAGCGAAATATTTTGTGCCATCAACATCAAAATCTATCCTTACTTCCGAACGACCACCACACTCCCCGCTCTGACGATATGAACACTGTCTCTGAGCTCAAGAAGAGAGGGAACGCTCTCTTTTCGGCCCGCGACTTCGATGGCGCGTCAGACGTTTACACTGCGGCAATCCGGGTGGTTTACTCGCAACGCGTCGAGCAAGCTTATCTTCTGGTGGATAGTAGCAGTCTGGGCTCGGAGTTGGCTATCATATTTGCAAATCGCGCTGCATGCTGGCTCGCGCTGAGACGGTGCGTGTCCTTGCTCTTGAAACGAAGGAAGAAAGCTCAAGAAAGTAGATACACCGATGCTAGAAGTGACGCGGAGCAGGCAAGTATGTCTGCCTTCTCCAACATATGGTCATCCTCGTTGATACCTGGATGCTAGGCAACCAGACTTGACTCTACATACTCCAAAGCTTTCGCAAGAATGGCTACTGCCCAGCATGTGGGTTTATCTCGTCTTTTTTGTTCATTGTGGCACTTATCACTAATATTCTAGGCCTTGGGTGAATATAGCGAAGCAGTTTCGAGCTGGCGCCGCGCTCTAGAACTACACGCGGATGAGGCAAGGAAGAAGGACTACATAGCCGGCTTGGAAGCCTCTATGGCGAAGGTTCAACCTCCCCCAACTTCGACAATCCGTTTGCCTTGGGAAGTCGCTGCGATGATGCTTCCCCGCCTATCCGCAAAACGCACGATCGATCGAGAATGCCCGTGTAGTAGCGTAATATTCGTCGGGTCTGTCTCAATTTCATGAACTGACAACTCTGAAGGCCTGGGTTATATATGCTGCCCATGAAGAATTCATGAACGGAATACGAAAATTAGGCACATTCAGAGTCGATAAAGACACCGGTGCTCCAATCGGCATGCTTGGTGTTAGTGTTCACACTTTGCTTCTTACGACTGGCTCACATATATACAGTGCGTAATTGCACTCAGTAATGGCCTACTACGCGACCATCGAGTGGCTCATTCGTACCCTGAACTGACAAAACTGGAACAACAGCGTGTGTCTACGTGGTAGCCCTTTTTCTTGACTAACACTGTTTCCCCAGTCATCTTCGAATGCGAGTCCTTTTTCGCGACTTGTTGGATCGAAACCGACCCCTCGCCCAAGCAAGTTATTCAGGGAGTCTCCGAACATGGATGGGACATTGCCAGCCGCGCAGCTTCGTTTATCGTTCGGTCAGGTTTATTCTTTTCTCGTTCACATGTTTGGCTCATGACGACGTAGAGCGTGGATTATACGAGGCCAGCTGGACTTGCTTCGAACCAATCGATACGATGTCGCTATCGGCAACTGCGAAAGATGTCTACTCGTTATACGTCAGTGCCGACAACTTGCGCCTCCCGCTAATCGTGGCGTCTTCATGGAGGACACATTTCTATTTGGTGTGCAGACACTTATGCTGGAGATGCTCGTTCAGGTAAGCCTCTTCCGTTGGCCGTTTTCACTCGCTTTAAACTACTTCATAGAAATACAGCGCCCTCCCATTGACTCCGATACCTCCCACCCTCAAGCAGGAAGCTGATTCATTACTATTGGCGTTGGACTGCCACGTCCCAGACCCAGCGCTGCAGAAAAACAACCCCGCCTTCTTTTACTCGTTTTTAGCTTACCCGCGAGGGACTGCCCATTCGTACGTGCCTCGCAGATCACATTCTCACTTATGCATCGATGATTAGAGCGAGAGGCTTAGTCGCCAGTAGAGCCGACTCATTCCACGAAGCCGCTGAAGAATACCTCTCCGCCGCACGGTATTTCCCCGCTGACGACGAGAAGCACTGTTGTATGTCTGCCCCCGTCGTTGTCTTTGACTTGAGTTCTCATTGCGTAGACAACTTGCGGCTGGCACTTATCAACATGAAGCTTGCCCGTTCGTCCTTTCCCCGCGCAGACCGCCTCGCAGTTATGGCCCAGCTTCGCAGCTCGGTGCCGGCGGCCCGTGCAATTTGGGAGCATCTATCTCTTCCGCGACCAGCTGCCGGGCTGTGCAGCCAGGGATGTGCTTTGGATGAACTGAGAATGGAGGAAGAAGCTCTGTTACAAGAGAAAGATTGAGTTAGTTGTTTAAACAGATGTCGGTCAAAATGTATAGTATCAGAACCTCAGCGGTAGATAGTGTTTTAAATTCAAATGCTCTCTGAAGGAAATCCTTGCTATTGAATACATTGTGCAATCAACTGGTAGATATTATAAGACAAATATAATCTTGCATTTAGTAGCCAATAATCAACTCTAGATTACATGCACTGCGGGAGTTTCGGAATAAACGGGGCCCCTTTCGATCCATTATACACCTCTAATCAATGTACCAAAAAAAGCAATTTTTTTATACATCTATTTGCATCCAAAGAATTTGTCCCAAATTTACCTGTTTATATGAGAAATGGGCGCGACAAACGGGGACCGCATCAGCAACCAATTAGACACAAAAAAAGCCCCCCTTTTCTTCCTCTATAATCAAGCCAAAACGGACTCAGTTTTTGTCACCCATTTTTAGGGCACATCAAACGCCCTTTTTTGGACTGGTTTTTGCACCAAAACGAGGACCAGAAAATATTCCCTTATATGACATATATCAGGGCCCAAAAAAATGGGCCCTGATATCCGGAGTATCGGGGCATCGTTTAGTTGTCGGCCGCAGAGCGGCAGACGTGCGTCTCAACAGTCAAATCGAAGGCAAACACACTTGTTTAGCATTGTAGTAAAAAATGTACATATAGTCCAACTGATGATATCTACATTGGGGGAGGCAAGGCATGCTGACACAAATATTTGACCGCAAGACAACATTGATTCTTGTAGACCCGAACAGCTGACAACGTGAAATGGATGTCTTGTTTCCACATGTTGTTGTTTCGCAGCAGCGCTGAACTGGCCTTGGCACTGGACACTTGTGTGCGATACCAGTCTTCACAATTGACGGTCCAATGACCAACATTCAGGCCAGATTGCAACCAAGCGGGGAGCCTGCGGCCACCATGAGACCTGTTTCTGCTGAACTCTGCTGCTATTCGTCTTGTCCTTACATTCTATTGTATATTAGTCAATGTCTCGGTATATATATTGAAAACTGACCCATGGGAATTGAGTATATCCCCGAACACAAACATTACTATTACCCCGTCTTCTCGCTTAATCCACAGCAAGCTCGTTGTTGTACCGCGGAGATCAGGCGATGCTGGTACTCCAATCGCTCGTCAGCCAGAAAGTTCTCAGATTCTCGTTCCGTCGGAGCCTGAATGAGGTCAGCATGCTTAATCTGCTTCCTGATGCCAGATTGACCACTGCTGGGAACGCTAAGGGCAATAATAGCACCGGAATGGCCAGAGAGTTTGTAGTCGAAGCAATAATCCATTTCCGTTGTACTCTCTCGAGCTCAAGACACACCTTTTATCCCAGCTTGTTTGCCAAGCAACAATTAGCTCCCATCACACTATGGAAAGGCTTGTATTCCATCACCGACTGTACAATAGTACAATAAAAGCCCAACGTTCGTGGCTATTCTTTCCATCATGGCCACCCGTGAATTTGTCGCCCAGGTTGAGCAGCCCCCGTCGCCTATTGTTGTACTTCTCGTGCACACAAACCTTTTGAAACCTGTATTTGCTCCTCTTCTCCTTCACGAAGACCTAGATCTTAGCCCTCCCAAGAAGACCGTCACATTCTCGGACGAAGACATTGACCATCGGGTCCCCATTCCAGTTGGTGGTGCTTCACGTGTTCGTGCCAAGAATTTCGCGTGTTACACTGGCTGGACTCAAGCTCGCGTGGATACATTTACAGTATGTGTTTCCTCTCGCTGTGGATCACAACTAAATATATCAGGACTTAGTTACCAAGATCGCAGAGGAGTTTCTGGATAAAACCAAGTGCACAACTGATCAGGACGCCGGAGCGATAGATATCGTGGATTCTAAGGTGAGCTTATGGTATCCTCTGGCTTGAGCGAGAGCGACCAACCCTGTTTCTAGGCTGCCGCGGCTTGGCCTGATGTCGACAAATTCGTGGCTCGTTGGCCAATTGATGTCGTCATCATTGGCTTCTGCAAAGCTTCCAAGGCAAGCGAAAAGAAAGCGTCTACCACAGCTGTCTCAGCTGCTTTTGAAGAAATGATTGGCTATCGCACCGTAAGTCATCTCTGTGCTGCTGATGTCCGACATATTTACTCTGATTTCAGCGTCGTCAAATGAATACTTAGTACACTCATTGGCTATATGCAATTCACTTCACATTCTGTACTTATCTACATGCAATTCATTTGAATGTTCGTCCTCTGATGCAATTTCTGGTGATGTTCTGTAATGCTGATGACAATCGGCACACTATCTGCATCTTATCATCGCCAGCCGATGACAAATGGCACGCAATCTGCCTGCGCTCCACTTCGTAGCGTACTCGTTGGGCCTAAACATGCGCAATGCCAACTCCAAGCAAGGCTGTTGCGACATTCTCATCCAGTGGGTGAGTAAATCATCTGTTTCCCTTTGAATATTACTCAACTTTTTTTAGTGTTACACCAAGCCACACACTGCCGATACATTCGTTCCCAAGTGCATTGATTTGAGGGATATCAAATTCATATAACAATTCATTGCCAACACAAGCACACCGGCCTAGGTGGATTCAGTGCCGAAGTCATATGGAGAGAGCAACGCTGGAACAATCAAGGCTTCAGAATGGCGAATTCTATCCACAATCTACCTCCCTATTGCTCTGGTCCTTCTTTGGGGTGATGAGCAAAAACAGCAAGCTCTCCTTGATCACACCATGGCACTCTTCACTGCTGTCATCCTTGTCTGTCGACATACAATGACACATGAAGGAGCTGCCAAATATAGAGAGCTGCTCAAGTTTTGGGTTGATGGTCTACCAAAACTTCATCCTCATACGCAAGCTCATGCCCCCCACGACCCAACATCCATGTTGCATTCCATATATATGACTTCTTACTCCGTTTTGGACCTGTAGTGTCCTGGTGGACATTCCCCTTTGAACGTGTAATTGGATTTTTGCAGAAGATCAAGACCAATGACCATGTTGGAGGTCAGCTTGAAGCAACCCTTACTCAATCATTTTTCGCGGTGCGAATCTCCGCTGGTGGCTCCGTCGCCCTGATTGTCCGTGTGTTCTGCAGGAAATCAAAACCGTCTTTGAAGCGACTTTCCCATCCTACAATGCTCCCTTAGACTCTGCTCCATGGGCAGCTGATGGAGATTGTGCTCATTACACGCGCCATGGGGTTAATTTCTCTAGGGCTAATGTCCACTTAGGCAAAAGTCTTGTTTTCTACTATCTGAACAACTCAAACACGCCTATTCCAGGCAGTATTGAGAATATATTGTCTACCAATGGTAATGTGAGCTTGATAATCCGTCGACAAGCACCATTGGCCCCAGGTGGGCGGGATCTTTTCACTCGGTACTATCCTTGGTTTCCAGCGCAAATGTACTCGTCTCAGATGCAGTGCTTAACTGACCGAGTACCAGTCGAAAATATATTATCTCACTATGCTAGGTATAATCTCCCAGATGGCCATTGTGTAGTTCTTAATCTAGCTTGTAGTAGTAGGTAGAGGTAATAAGTAGAGGTAATAAATGCAATCCCTTCTCAGATGCCTGTTGGCTGTCGGCCGACAACTAAACGATGCCCCGATACTCCGGATATCGGGGCCCATTTTTTTGGGCCCTGATATGTGTCATATAAGTGAATATTTTTTGGTCCTCGTTTTGGTGCAAAAACCAGTCCAAAAAAGGGTGTTTGATGTGCCCTAAAAATGGGTGACAAAAACTGAGTCCGTTTTGGCTTGATTATGGAGGAAGAAAAGGGGGGCTTTTTTTGTGTCTAATCGGTTGCTGATGCGGTCCCCGTTTGTCGCACCCATTTCTCATATAAACAGGTAAATTTGGGACAAATTTTTTTGGATGCAAATAGATGTATAAAAAAAATTGCTTTTTTTGGTACATTGATTAGAGGTGTATAATGGATCGAAAGGGGCCCTGTTTATTCCGGAACTCCCACAGTGATGCTAAAGAAAAAGGAATGGGTCATAGGAAGCCCAGCCTGGTTTGCAATGCAGAAAGACCTAACATTGAAAATTGCAAACAGAATCTGAAGTGTTTCTACCAAGCTTTATAGGGATCACCATCTAGAGCCATACCACAGAGCAAAGCCACAAATGCATTAATGGGTGACTTCCCGTAAGGGAAAAGAAATTGGATGCAATTTCCGAGCGGTGCCAATCTGTCACTTTTTAGCTGAAAATTCATGTTTGAAAGACGGTGGCTTCCCATAAGAATAAATAATTTTGGATGCAATGATTGAGCTCATTCCATTATCCAAACAACACATCAACACTTGACTATCATGAAAAGGGGAGTGATGCCCAACGATGAGCTGCACCAGGAACAAAATAGCACATCCTAGCACTAGTAGTAGCAGCCACAAGCACACAACTATGCTATGCTTTCTCACCTCGAGCAAGATGTGGCAGTGTGACACATGTGAAGATCTGGGACAATGATCGTAGTTGTCCCAAAACGGTAAGTTTTCGTAATGGAGGCAAGAAAATAGTTTATTCGGGGGATCCTGACCCTCTGAATAAATCTGAGCACTTTTGAAGTTTATTGGAGGCCCAAATGGGGATTTCAGTCCGATGTAAAGCACCTCAGAAGTGGCTGGACCTGTGGATGGTTTCACAGGTACCTGACATCCGCATCTGCAGGTTTTCATATCTGGGGATGGAGGTACCTGTTTTCCCGCGGATGGTAGGGGATGGAGGTCTTGGTGCAGAAGGTCACAGGTACCTGTACCTTATGCACTTAGACTCACTTATACTGCTTTTGGTCCTGTCTAATCAATTAATAATACAGAAAATATCATTTATTGAAGCTTATAAATACTTTGCAACACACAATCACTGTCTCCATATATGATCCAATAGATATTACCCCTCACCATCCGCAGGTACCTGTGAGAGGTAACTGTATCCACAGATGGAGGTACCTTGTATCCTACTACCAGCCAGGGATAGAGGTATTGATTTTTGGGCAGAAAAA